AGTGACACAGAAACAGAGGGATTGAGGGCCTGCTCAGTGAGTTTACATGTTAGAGGGAGTGGGGTATAGTGACACAGTAACAGAGGGATTGAGGGCCTGCTCAGTGAGTTTACATGTTAGAGGGAGTGGGGTATAGTGATAGTAACAGAGGGATTGAGGGCCCTGCTCAGTGAGTTTACATGTTAGAGGGAGTGGGGTATAGTGACACGGTAACAGAGGGATTGAGGGCCTGCTCAGTGAGTTTACATGTTAGAGGGAGTGGGGTATAGTGACACAGTAACAGAGGGATTGAGGGCCCTGCTCAGTGAGTTTACATGTTAGAGGGAGTGGGATATAGTGGCATGGTAACAGAGGGATTGAGGGCCCGCTCAGTGAGTTTACATGCTAGAGGGAGTGGGGTATAGTGACACGGTAACAGAGGGATTGAGGGCCTGCTCAGTGAGGTTACATGTTAGAGGGAGTGGGGTATAGTGACACAGTAACAGAGGGATTGAGGGCCTGCTCAGTGAGTTTACATGTTAGAGGGAGTGGGGTATAGTGACACAGTAACAGAGGGATTGAGGGCCCTGCTCAGTGAGTTTACATGTTAGAGGGAGTGGGTATAGTGACAGTAACAGAGGGATTGAGGGCCCTGTTCAGTGAGCTTACATGTTAGAGGGAGTGGGGTATAGTGACAGAGTAACAGAGGGATTGAGGGTCCTGCTCAGTGAGTTTACATGTTAGAGGGAGTGGGGTATAGTGACACAGTAACAGAGGGATTGAGGGCCTGCTCAGTGAGTTTACATGTTAGAGGGAGTGGGGTATAGTGACACAGTAACAGAGGGATTGAGGCCCTGCTCAGTGAGTTTACATGTTAGAGGGAGTGGGGTATATTGACACAGTAACAGAGGGATTGAGGGCCTGCTCAGTGAGTTTACATGTTAGAGGGAGTGGGGTATAGTGACACAGTAACAGAGTGATTGAGGGCCCTGCTCATTGAGTTTACATGTTAGAGGGAGTGGGGTATAGTGACACAGTAACAGAGGGATTGAGGGGCCTGCTCAGTGAGTTTACATGCTAGAGGGAGTGGGGTATAGTGACAGTAACAGAGGGATTGAGGTCCTGCTCAGTGAGTTTACATGTTAGAGGGAGTGGGGTATTGAAGCCCATGGAACAACGAAGTAAGGGGAGTGGGCCTTGACAGAGCCAGGAGTGGGCAGGTGCATTCAGTTAGGGGTTGGCTTAAGCTAATGGAGCTTGGGGGCGGGATCAAAGGGGGTTGAAATAGCGGCCATCTTAGAGAGTGGCCATTTTAATCAGAACTTCACTTACCTGTCAGTTGTGTCAGGTCTGTGGGGTTTTTCTTTTTTCTTTTGCTGCAGGTCCATGGCGTCCCTAGATGAGATCCTGGCCGGAGTGAGAGCAGCAGTGAAGGACCGAGGGCTGGCCTGGCTGCATGAACAACTGGGGGCTGCAGTTCCCCCTCCAGCACCAGCGGAGCGCAGGACGGCGCGAAGAGCACGGCCGCCCCAGCGCTTGAGTCCGGGCATGGCGCCCGCTCCACGGCGGCGGAGGAGCCCGTCGGCACCCAGCCAGGAGGCAAGAGGGTCGGACAGCACCGGGAAGCGGCCGGCGCCGCCTGTGCGCCGCGGTGCCGGTCAGGCGAGGACGGCCGCAAAGCGCGGGCCTGCTGGTAAACGCGCCCCACCCAAGATGGCGGCAGGCAGCACAGGTACCCCAGAGGAGGGCTCCAGCACGGCGGGAATGGCGGCCGGGAGAGCGGAGGAACACGTGGTCGGCAGCACTTCAGTGAGGCGGGACGCTGGATGTTCCGGCACAGGCGGCCCCCCAGCAACCCAGGGGTGGCCTGGTCAGCGGGACCAGCTCGCGGGCGGCCTTAGGTGTGGCCGGGACGGGCGACAGTGCCAGGCATAGGGAGGAGGGGCGGCAGGAAGACGGCAGGATCGGACAGGGAGCGGCTGAGGTTCCAGCTGGCTGCCAGGGGGTGCAAGGGGCATCTGAGCCAGGCGCAGCGGCCAACAGATGGCCAGGTACAGCGGAGAAAGGGGACACACGCAGTACAGCGCGGGATAGGGAAGTCAGGAGCAGTAGCAGTGGAAGGTTGGGCCCCTCAGGCTGCTCTCACGGGGGGCACCGCAGCGGGACCAGGGAGCGGGAGGAGTACAGACGGGAGCGGCGCAGCGGTAGCGCCAGGCCCGGCAGCAGCAGGAGGTCAGCTGATCGGCAGTGGAGCAGGGACAGGAGTCCATCGCATAGCAGGCGCAGTGGTTCCAGGACCAGCTGCAGGGCGGGGAGAAGGAGGTCCGCGTCCAAGGACGGGCGGGGGCGGAGGCGGCGCAGCGCATCTGGGTCCTCGGGTGACAGTGCGCTAGGACAGCAGCGGGCCCCCAGGAGCAGGGAAGTTAGGCCGGCAAGGCGGTGCGAAGCTTGGAATTGCGGAGAAGAGCGTAGGGAGGAAGGACGGGTAGGGGCCCAGCAGTACAGACTACCCAGGTTGTCTTCTCCTTACAGGTCGCGGAGCGCTACCCCTACGGTCCTGAGGAGGGATCAGGCGGATGGGAGTCGGCGTCAACCGGATGCTCCGGAGCCTGAACGGGTGGACGGAAGGTCGGCAACCCCGGGGCCTGGCACGGCCGGGGTCTCCAACGGTGAGTCCATATCTGCACAACACTCCGGACAGTTATTGGGCTATTTAAAAACACTATTGGAGGCATGGTCAGGGAAGGGGGAATCACCATTGCAGTTCGGAAAGGTATGGTCCCCTGACACGGCGGTTAAGGCAATAGGGGCGGGGGTCCAACCGGCGAGCGGTGGCGAGGCAAGCGAAGCGGTAGTGGCGTCCGGTGCGGCGGATGGGGGGGCTGAGTCGGCGGTCGGTTGTGGCGACATTTCGGACGCGGCACGTCAAAACGTACACGTATCTTTTGCGGGCCCCCTAGGTTGTCACCTGAAATTAGAGGTCAAAGAAAAGATTTGGAAGGGGGAGTTCATGGAAATTTTTTCCTTGCTCCCTTTGGAGGAATTCCTAGACTTGAAGGAGGAGGATAAGAAGGACGCCAAGAAGGAGGAAGAAGAAAAAAGGCGGAGGTATCGCAAGATACCGAAGACTTTTGGGAATTGGCTGAGGGCGTTCTGCATCCTGGCTAGTGTGATAGGGGGAAAAAGGCCAGGGAACTGTTCGCAACTGTTCTGCTACTTGGATGGGATAGGCGATGCGTATCGGACGTATGGGGGCCTAGCGTGGTGGAAATATGATGAGCAGTTTCGGCAACGCTTGGCGGCCAACCCTACCATGTGGTGGGACCAAATGGACCTGCCGCTATGGATGAGGATTATGATGGCGCAGAAGGCTGCGCCCTTTCTCGGGGCAGCTGGGACAGCCTCAGGCGTGGCTGTGCCAGCGGGACAAAAGAAGGGCCTGTGCTGGACGTACAACGAGAGTCAATGCAAGTGGGGTACTTCATGCCGATTTAGGCACGAGTGTTCGGGCTGCGGAGGGAATCACGGCGCCAGCAGATGCTTCAAGAAAGGTAAGCTCAATGCAGGGGGTGGAACCGCAGGGGTGGCGGCCACCTCGGCTGCAACTGGGGGCATCCCCAGTGAGGTTAGGCGCGATGTTGCCTTGGCTAAGGCAATACGCTAACCAGGAGGATGCAGCGTTCCTGTGGCGGGTTTTAGGGAGGGCTTCGTGATCCCCTTCACGGTTAAGGAACCAGGGGCGGTTTGTGCCAATCTTAAATCGGTGCGGGAACGCCCGGAGGTAGTGCGGGAAAAGCTGGCCAAAGAGGTCCTTTTGGGGAGGATGGCGGGGCCGTTCCCGTATCCTCCTATAGCGGAGTTGTGGATATCCCCACTTGGAGTGGTCCCCAAAAAAGAGGCTGGCAAATTCAGGTTGATTCATCACTTATCGTATCCTAAAGGGTCATCGGTGAATGATGACATCGACGCAGCACTCTGTTCAGTATCTTACACATCATTCGACAGGGCAGTCGAGTTGGTACAGAGAGCTGGGCGGGGAGCGCTGATGGCGAAGGTGGACGTGGAGGCAGCGTTTCGGCTGCTTCCCATACACCCGTCATGTCATCACCTCTTGGGGTGTTGTTTTGAAGGGGGCTTCTTTGTGGATCTGTGCTTGCCGATGGGTTGTTCCATCTCGTGCGCCTATTTCAAGAAGTTTAGCACTTTTATGGAATGGGTAGTGCGACGGGAATCGGCCGGGGGCACGGTTGTGCACTACCTGGACGACTTCTTATGTGTCGGCCCTCGAGGCTCAGACCGGTGCAATCAGATACTACGGGTGTTCCAATGGGTAGAGCAGACGATGGGGGTTCCTTTGGCGGAGGACAAGACGTGTCTTAGTTTTCTGGGTTTGGAGATCGATTCGGAGATCGGGGAATGTAGATTACCACAGGACAAGTTGCACAAACTGAAAGATTTGGTGCACACAATTGGGAGAGCACGGAAGGTGACGCTGAGGGGATTACAGTCTCTGGTAGGGAGCCTGAACTTTGCGTGCAGGGTCATACATGGGGAGGGTTTTCTGTAGACGATTGGCGCGGGCGACGAGCGGGATACGGATGCCGTCACACTATATCAGGGTTTCCGCGGACATGAAGGCGGACTTAGAGGTGTGGGATCGTTTTTTGAGGGACTTCAATGGCAAGGCCTTTTTTCGGGAGCAAGTGGTGTCTTCGGAAGCAGTGGGGCTGTTTACGGATGCTTCGGGCAGCGTGGGGTTCGGGGCTTATTTTGCGGGACGGTGGTGTGCCGAGGCATGGCCCGAGGCATGGAGGGCGAGCCCATTGATCAAGAATCTGGCATTTTTGGAACTCTTCCCTGTAGTGGTTGCGGTAGCATTGTGGGGAGCTGAACTAGCAAACAAGCGAGTCGTGTTTTATTCGGACAATATGGCCGTGGTGCAGGCAATCAACAGTTTGTCGGCATCTTCGCTTCCGGTCTTATGCCTACTGCGGCATTTGGTGCTCCTCTGCATGTCTTCCAATTTAGTATTCAGGGCTAGGCACATTCCGGGATTCTCAAATGTGGTGGCTGATGCGCTTTCTCGTTTTCAGTGGGATCGTTTTCGGGAAGCGGCTCCAGAGGCACGGGAATGCGGGCAGGCCTGCCCAGACGAGATGTGGCGACTCGGGACATCGTGCTTGGGGAATACATAAAGAAATCCTTGGCACCGAGCACGTGGTCATCTTATGCTAAGGTTTGGAAGGAATGGGAGGAAGCGGTTGAGGAGGTAGGTGGGGACCTTTCGGAGGGCCATAGGCTGGATGTCTTCCTATGGTTGTTGTGCCGGTTGTTTGCAAAGGGGGCTTCGCCGGCCATGGTGGACAGGCATATGTCCGCCTTGGCTTTCTGGTTTAAATTCCATGGGTGGGAAGATTTGACAAAGCATTTCTTGGTTCGACAGGCGGTTCGGGGTTTTCGGAGGGGAAAGACGTCGACGGACGTTAGGAGACCGGTGTCTTTTGCGGTCTTACAAGGTTTGGTGGGAAAGTTACCGGAGTTATGTTCCTCGCCATTTGAGGTGGTCCTTTTTTCTGGTGCGTTTGTCTGGGCGTTTCGGATCGGGGAGCTGGTTAGCGCAAACAAAGTGGGAGTTGGTGGCTTGCAGCGCGAGGATGTGGAAGTTAAGAGTGATCGCGTGCAGATTAGGTTGGGCCGATCGAAAACTGATGTTTTCGGCAAAGGCTGCTCCGTGGTGCTATTCGAGTTGCCGGGATCAGGGTTGTGCCCGGTGGCCTGCGGATCAGGGTACCTGGGGATCCGTCCTAACGTTAGCGGTTGTTTTTTCCGGCACGGCGCTGTCACGGTTTCAATTCATTAGGATTTTTCGTTTGGGCTTAGTGAAGCTGGGCCTGCAGCCCACGCAATTCGGGTCGCATTCGTTCCGTATCGGTGCGGCTACAGAGGCGGCACGCTTGGGTTTGGGTGACGAGCGGATCAAGAGGATCGGACGGTGGGAATCCGTGCGGTTTCGCTCGTATGTGAGGCCCGACGGGATGGTGGAGCTTTGAGGGGTTAAATGGCCGGGACTGGGGGACACTGGCTCTGCGGTGTAATTAATTTTGTCTCTTTTCAGGTTGGAATGTTTGGTTGCTGGGACACTCGTTCGTATATTGGGCACAGAAGAGGGCCGCAGTTCGGAGACAAGGAACACAACTGGGCTTTCCTCTGGAACGGGCGGTCTTATCCTGGTTTGGTTTTCGAGGTTTTAGTTGGCAGAGCTTGAGTAATGTTTTATTTACAAAAGTGTCCAAGGGTCCGGTTCCGGATGTTGTAGTGGTGCACGGTGGGGGGAATGACTTAGGGCTGATTCCGCAACGGGAACTGTTGCGGCGAATGAAGAGGGACATGGATCGGCCACGGGAGCTGGTCCCTGACGTGGTGGTGGTGTGGTCCGAGATGGTGCCTCGTTTTACATGGCGTCACGCCAGGGACCCTGCTGCGGTGGCACGATGCAGGGGGAAGGTTAATAGAGCTATGGCAGTATTTGTTAAGAGGATGGGGGGAATAGTGGTGAGGCATCGGGAACTGGAGGGCATGTTGCCAGGTTATTATAGGAGGGATGGAGTACACCTGTTAGAGGTGGGGTGTGACTTGCTGAACTTGGGGTTCCAGGAGGGCATAGCCCGAGCCCTGTTTCAGTGTGGTGGGGGTCGCACATGGTCTTAAGGGGTCAAGACAAGTGCTGTGGCGGAACAGGGCGTGGTTAAGTTGGAAGTTATCAGGGAATTGGAACTGTACAGGCCAGGGCCTAGGCTGAAGTAGGCCAGACGGTGTCATGGTTGGTAGGTTCTAGCTCTTCGGTGGCAACGAACCTGGGGGTGTAGGGGTGTCTGGGTACACCCCTACAGTTATCATTATGATATGGGGCCTCGTTGGTAGGCCGGATGTTTACAAGTTTATTGGTAATTGATGTTAATTATTGTTCATGTGGTAGGGTCATTGTCAGGGGATTGTGCGGGGGAATAATAAATAATGTCATTTATGACAATGACCCTAATTATGTTAATTTATTCATATTAATAAAGCTGTGGACGTTATACTCCAACAGTATTAAACGTGTCCGTGTATTATTAAAGTTAAAGTTTATAGCACATGCCGAACAACGACAGTGCAAATGTCATGAAGCCCATGGAACAACGAAGTAAGGGGAGTGGGCCTTGACAGAGCCAGGAGTGGGCAGGTGCATTCAGTTAGGGGTTGGCTTAAGCTAATGGAGCTTGGGGGCGGGATCAAAGGGGGTTGAAATAACGGCCATCTTAGAGAGTGGCCATTTTAATCAGAACTTCACTTACCTGTCAGTTGTCCCACCCACCCTCCCTGTGTTGAGGTGAATTTCCCGTTTTGTCACAGCGGCAGGAACAGGGCATGGTTAAGTTGGAAGTTATCAAGGAATTGGAACTGTACAGGCCAGGGCCTAGGCTGAAGTAGGCCAGACGGTGTCTAGCTCTTCGGTGGCGACGAACCTGGGGGTGTAGGGGTGTCTGGGTACACCCCTACAGTTATCATTATGATATGGGGCCTCGTTGGTAGGCCGGATGTTTACAAGTTTATTGGTAATTGATGTTAATTATTGTTCATGTGGTAGGGTCATTGTCAGGGGATTGTGCAGGGGGATAATAAATAATGTCATTTATGACAATGACCCTAAATATGTTAATTTATTCATATTAATAAAGCTGTGGACGTTATACTCCAACAGTATTAAACGTGTCCGTGTATTATTAAAGTTAAAGTTTATAGCACATGCCGAACAACGACAGTGCAAATGTCAAGTGACACAGTAACAGAGGGATTGAGGGCCCTGCTCAGTGAGTTTACATGTTAGAGGGAGTGGGGTATAGTGACACAGTAACAGAGGGATTGAGGGCCCTGCTCAGTGAGTTTACATGTTAGAGGGAGGGGGGTATAGTGACACAGTAACAGAGGGATTGAGGGCCCTGCCCAGTGAGTTTACATGTTAGAGGGAGTGGGGTATAGTGACACAGTAACAGAGGGATTGAGGGCCCTGCTCAGTGAGTTTACATGTTAGAGGGAGTGGGGTATAGTGACACAGTAACAGAGGGATTGAGGGCCCTGCTCAGTGAGTTTACATGTTAGAGGGAGTGGGGTATAGTGACACAGTAACAGAGGGATTGAGGGCCTGCCCAGTGAGTTTACATGTTAGAGGGAGTGGGGTATAGTGACACAGTAACAGAGGGATTGAGGCCCTGCTCAGTGAGTTTACATGTTAGAGGGAGTGGGGTATGGTGACACAGTAACAGAGGGATTGAGGGCCCTGCTCAGTGAGTTTACATGTTAGAGGGAGTGGGGTATAGTGACACAGTAACAGAGGGTTTGAGGGCCCTGCTCAGTGAGCTTACATGCTAGAGGGAGTGGGGAAAAGTGACACAAAAGGTAAGGATAGTATTAGACTAATGACAGTTGCCAGAGAGGAATCAGTCGGGAGCTATTAACAGTGCAGACTGGGTGCGAATCTAACAGAGGAAGGAATTCATTTACCATAACCTTATAGCTGCAGTTATAATACACTGTGTGCGGGGAGACAGGGGATCTCCTTACACCATAACCTTATAGCTGCAGTTATAATACACTGTGCAGGGAGACAGGGGACCTCCTTACACCATAACCTTATACCTGCTCTTATAATACACTGTGTGTGGGGAGACAGGGGACCTCCTTACACCATAACCTTATAGCTGCAGTTATAATACACTGTGTGCAGGGAGACAGGGGACCTCCTTACACCATAACCTTATAGCTGCAGTTAAAATACACTGTGTGCGGGGAGACAGGGGACCTCCTTACACCATAACCTTATAGCTGCAGTTATAATACATTGTGTGCGGGGAGACAGGGGATCTCCTTACACCATAACCTTATAGCTCCAGTTATAATACACTGTGTGCGGGGAGACAGGGGCCTCCTTACACCATAACCTTATAGCTGCAGTTATAATACACTGTGTGCGGGGAGACAGGGGACCTCCTTACACCATAACCTTATAGCTGCAGTTATAATACACTGTGTGCGGGGAGACAGGGGACCTCCTTACACCATAACCTTATAGCTGCAGTTATAATACACTGTGTGCTGGGAGACAGGGGGCCTCCTTACACCATAACCTTATAGCTGCAGTTATAATACACTGTGTGCTGGGAGACAGGGGACCTCCTTACACCATAACCTTATAGCTGCAGTTATAATACACTGTGTGCAGGGAGACAGGGGACCTCCTTACACCATAACCTTATAGCTGCAGTTATAATACACTGTGTGCATGGAGACAGGGGACGTCCTTACACCATAACCTTATAGCTGCAGTTATAATACACTGTGTGCGGGGAGACAGGGGACCTCCTTACACCATAACCTTATAGCTGCAGTTATAATACAATGTGTGCGGGGAGACAGGGGATCTCCTTACACCATAACCTTATAGCTGCAGTTATAATACAGTGTGTGCGGGGAGACAGGGGACCTCCTTACACCATAACCTTATAGCTCCAGTTATAATACACTGTGTGCGGGGCGACAGGGGACCTCCTTACACAATAACCTTATAGCTGCAGTTTTAATACACCGTGTGCGGGGAGACAGGGGACCTCCTTACACCATGGTATCCCCTGGAGGGGCATCAAACTAACACCCATTTTGCCTTGGGCGGCATTTTCCAGGGGGCGGTAAAAAAAAGCCGCCCCCAAATGCCCACGGCAAATGTCTTGTTAGTCTTGCGGCTAACTGACAAGCCAGGCGGGCGGGCGGCGCTGGCGAGGGAGCACTTGCCCCTGAGCTCTCTGCTCAGCTCTTGACGTCATATTCCGGCTCCCGGCATCACTCTGCGGTGCGCAAAGGAGCTGAGCAGAGCGCTCAGGGGAAAGTGCTCCCTGTCCATCGCTGACCGCCCAGCAGCCCCACTAGACCCCAAAGGAGACTGGGGGGGGTTAAATTTAAAAAAAAAAGTGAGTGTGTTAATGTGAGTGAGTGTGTGTGTCTGTGTGTGTCTCTTAGTGTGTGTGTGTGTGTGCCTGTTAGTGAGTGTGTCTTTTAGTGAGTGAGAGTGTCTGTTAGTGAGTGAGTTTGTGTCTGTTAGTGTGTGTCTGTGTGTGTCAGTTAGTGTGTGTCAGTTAGTGTGTGTGTGTCTGTGAGTGAGTGTGTGTGTCTGTTAGTGTATGTGTGACTGTGAGTGTGTGTGTCTGTTAGTGAGTGTGTGTGTCTGTTAGTGAGTGTGTGTTTGTCTGTTAGTGCGTGTGTATGTCTGTTAGCTAGTGTATGCGTATCTGTCAGTGAATATGTGTGTGTGTATTTAGAAGGCGGGGCAGGGGGGGAATTCTTCCAGTTTGGCTATTTTCACCTTAAATTTGAAATTCAGTTTTGAATACTCACTTAAGTGTTTGGAAAAGATGTGAACATTGCTGCCTTTTAGACAAGCGATTATTAGATTGGCAAATAAAATTCAGAATAACTTTTATGTCTAAACATTTTCGCCAAACATTAATTCCCTACAAATCGTTACCCTCTTAATGTCAATAGGGAAATTATTATTATTATTTTATTATTTATATAGCGCCATCAGACTCCGTAGTGCTGTACAATGGGTGGACTAACAGACATGTAATTGTAACCAGACAACTGGATGGACAGGAACAGAGGGGTGGAGGTGGAGGGCCCTGCTCAATGAGCTTACATGATAGAGGGATATAGAAATATATTAAAGCCGAGGTCTGCTGGTTTCTCTTCTGCCGAGTGGCGATGGATGACTTTTTTATCCTTTTCAGCAAAACTTTTGAAAATGTTGTCATGTTGCTCCTGCATTCCAATCATAGCATGTTGTTCTATTTACTGTTATCTCCTGTTTAAGGTTCTCTTACTGTCCCCTGTCTCTCAGTGGTTGCTGCCATACAGATCTATACCAATGGCGTTTCCTCTGTGCCAAGAATTGATTTAATAGATTTTTCTTACAATCAATACATTTGCTAGAATGTCTGCGAACAGTCTGTTCAGGTGGAATATTATGTACGTTTAGACTGGAAGCTGGTTTATATATTGTACAGCGATGCGGAATATGTTAGTGCTATATAATAATTGTATGAGTGTACCATGACAGGTACATATTATGCAAACACCCCGTGCACTATAACCATCTTAGCTTATTGTAGTTTTGGAACCTTATTGTAGGTTTGGAACCTCGGAAGTACCTAATGTTATTTTTTATATTCCTTAAATGTAGCTAATTCTCAGGATCTGATGTTCTGTGTTAGTATAATGTGTATTCTAATTCTACCGGTGACAGGTAGGCTATAATAACAAGGAGGGTTAAATCCAGCTCTCCTGTTTGTATTATTAGCAGAGTAGCAATGCGTTATTTAACTTTTATTATTGTGATTGTGTTTAATGGTGAGAGCTGATAGACTGGTTAATAAACGGTTAATAAATCCTATTTGTATTATTAGCAGTGTTATAATAATATTTGTGATTATGGTTAATGGTGAGAGCTGATAGTCTGGTCAGTAAATGGTTAATAAATCCTATTTGTATTATTAGCAGTGTTATAATAATATTTGTGATTATGGTTAATGGTGAGAGCTAGTTAATAAATGGTTAATAAATCCTGTTTGTATTATTAGCAGTGTTATAATAATATTTGTGATTATGGTTAATGGTGAGAGCTGATAGACTGGGTAATAAATGATTAATAAATCCTATTTGTATTATTAGCAGTGTTATAATAATATTTGTGATTATGGTTAATGGGGAGAGCTGATAGACTGGTTAATAAATGGTTAATAAATCCTGTTTGTATTATTAGCAGTGTTATAATAATATTTGTGATTATGGTTAATGGTGAGAGCTGATAGTCTGGTCAGTAAATGGTTAATAAATCCTATTTGTATTATTAGCAGTGTTATAATAATATTTGTGATTATGGTTAATGGGGAGAGCTGATAGACTGGTTAATAAATGGTTAATAAATCCTGTTTGTATTATTAGCAGTGTTATAATAATATTTGTGATTATGGTTAATGGTGAGAGCTGATAGTCTGGTCAGTAAATGGTTAATAAATCCTATTTGTATTATTAGCAGTGTTATAATAATATTTGTGATTATGGTTAATGGTGAGAGCTGATAGACTGGTTAATAAATGGTTAATAGAATTCTCATTCTTTAAGAAATACATTGTATCCAGTGAGAAAGCTCAGAGGGGGAAACCACGCCCATCCCCAGAGTGATCCAATCAGTGCTGTGTTGTACGCCCCGCCCCGCTCGCAGTGCGTGCTGTGATTGGCTGGGCGGGGTTGATTGGCAGGTGGAGAGCTGAGCTGTCAGGCTGTGTCCGCCATGTCTGGCAGGAAGGGAGATCGTTACTCAGTGCTGCTACCGACCTACAACGAACGGGACAACCTACCGCTCATAGTCTGGCTGCTGGTCAAATGCTTCAAAGAGAGGTGGGGCCCCTGGGACTGTGTGTGGCCCCTACTGACCCAGACTGGCCCCTGGGACTGTGTGTGGCCCCTACTGGCCCCTGGGACTGTGTGTGGCCCCTACTGACCCAGACTGGCCCCTGGGACTGTGTGTGGCCCCTACTGACCCAGACTGGCCCCTACTGACCTCAGACTGGCCCCTGGAACTGTGTGTGGCCCCTACTGACCTCAGACTGGCCCCTGGGACTGTGTGTGGCCCCTACTGACCTAGACTGGCCCCTGGGGCTGTGTGTGGCCCTTACTGACCCAGACTGGCCCCAGGGACTGTGTGTGGCCCCTACTGACCAGACTGGCCCCTGGGACTGTGTGTGGCCCCCTGGCCCCCTGGGACTGTGTGTGGCCCCTACCCCACTGGCCCCTGGGACTGTGTGTGGCCCCCACTGGCCCCTGTGTGTGGGACTGGCCCTGTGTGTGGCCCCACTGGCCCTGGGACTGTGTGTGGCCCCACTGGCCCCTGGGACTGTGTGTGGCCCCACTGGCCCCTGGGACTGTGTGTGGCCCCTACTGGCCCCTGGGACTGTGTGTGGCCCCTGGGACTGTGTGTGGCCCCTACTGGCCCCTGGGACTGTGTGTGGCCCCTACTGGCCCCTGGGACTGTGTGTGGCCCCTACTGGCCTCAGACTGGCCCCTGGGACTGTGTGTGGCCCCTACTGACCCCTGGGACTGTGTGTGGCCCCTACTGACCCCTGGGACTGTGTGTGGCCCCTACTGACCCCTGGGACTGTGTGTGGCCCCTACTGACCCAGACTGGCTCCTGGGACTGTGTGTGGCCCCTACTGACCCCTGGGACTGTGTGTGGCCCCTACTGACCTCAGACTGGCCCCTGGGACTGTGTGTGGCCCCTACTAATAACTACTGATGACATTTTCAACAACAACAAAAAAACACACACCTAGTCTAGGCAAAATAATGGTAGTTTAGTTACAGTATATGATACCTTGCATAAGCCTGGTACAACATCAATGTACCCCATTTTGGCAGGTCCTACTCTAGCAACCTAATGTCTTCTCTTACAGGATTAATTCACTTACTTGGGGAAACCTAACTTCTGGAGTTATGCAGTACAAGGTTAAATAGGGCACTGGAATGAGGCACCCATATAGAATTATGTGTAATTAAAGGGACACTATAGTCACCTGAACAAATTCAGCTTAATGAGAACTATACCTCCCTGCACCCTTTCTCATGTAAACACTGTATTTTCACTGTATTTTCTGAGAAAATACAGTGTTTACATTGAAAGCTAAGAACACCTCCAGTTGCAGTCACTCAGAGTGAACCACAGGGACTTCGGAATATGCCTCCATCCACTCAGCAGAGCACAGGGCAGCACTGTGCACAGCATCCTGTGATTCAGTATCTCCTCCCACTGCATTCAGACACTGAACTTTTCTCATAGAGATTTGTTGATTCAATTCATCTCTATGAGGAGATGCTGATTTGGCCAGGGCCGTGTTTGACTCATGCTGGCTCCTGATCTGCCTCTTTGTCAGTCTCAGCCAATCCTATGGGGAAGCACTGTGATTGGATCAGGCTGTCACATGTCAGCAGACTGCTTGTTTTTCCTGAGTCTAACAGCATGCAGATTTACAGCTTCTGGCTTGAATACAGTAAGATTTTTACTATATTTATGGAGGCATGAAGGGTCCAGGGCGGCTAGATGGTCGTGTTAACACTATAGGGTCAGGAATACATGTAGTTGCACTGGTGACTATAGTGTCCCTTTAAACATAATTTGTTTAAATTAAATTAGAGAAGATTTGATGAAAGTTGTACTTTAAAGGGACATTATATTCACCAAAACTACTTTATCTTAATGAAGCCGTTTTGGTGTATAGATCATGGCCCTGCAGTCTCACTGCTCAAATCTGTTATTTAAGAGTTAAATAACTTTTTTGTTTCTTGTAACGGATCGCCTGGCGCCCCAATCGGTTGCCTCCGTCAATTCATGCTCCTAGTGCTCACCGAGGGCTCCAAGCACTCCACCAGACACCATAAGCACTGTAGGCTCCACAGCTTGGTTGGGGGCTCGCCGTCTTCCACCCACCCTGGGCCCAAGATCCAGCTTCCAGTCGGTAGACCTCTCCTAGTCCAGAGAGCGTAGCAGGAACATCTCTTAGAAGAGCTAGTGATTATACTCTGTGGAGTATTGTGATATAGCAATCCCCTGAGTGTATGTAGTTCTCCAATCCCCCAAACATGAGCCAATTGTTCACGAAGGGGTAAAGCATTCTGTTTAATGGAAGCCACAGCTGGCCTTTTATGCAAGTCCCCAAGCAATGTGTACGCCCACATGGACCTTGTTGGGGACAGGGACACAAAGCTTACAAATCAGAACAGTAATTAAAATACGACACTCCCATAACAAACATACAATCCCTCCCCTCTCCCTGTGAGATAATTGGATCAGATACTGTATTAACCCAATTATCTCCAGGCAGAAAAAAAATACATATTTTACAAAGTCCCATAATTACCCCAAAACACAACATATCCCCATCAATGTTACATCCCCTGATAGCCCTGATCAGGGTCACCAACATATCCAAAAATCACCCAGATCAGTTCAGGGTTTCAGAAATTTTATGGAAATTATGTATTTGACCGATACATGTATTTGTCCCAAAACAGTTCCAGAGAATCAGGGATTGCGGGCAGTCTAGTTCGGTAGTTTGAAAATGAACAAACTACCGAACAGAGTCAATAATCTTACCCTGGAGCTTGATCCCTTCATCCAGATGAATGATCTCACTGAACAGTGCCCTTCTAAGCCGAATAGAAACGACCGCAGGCGATGATGGAAGTCCACCGGTGTTCGGGAGTTTCGATTTTTAGTTCCATGAGATTCATGCCCAAACACCACTGCCTGCGTTCATGCGAACAAGATGGCTGCCACCTCGTGGTTGGTCATAGGAATCGCGGCCACCCAGATGAAAAAATTGAACACTGCGGTGAGAAACGTTCCAAGTTGTTAATAGGTGTTAACAAGCTCCAGGGTGGTCTCTGTTCATGCGGTTGTACAGTAAACAAACCATATAGTCCCAATTGCACGAACAGAGCCTGTTTGAAGTATTTTAGCAAGATCTATTGCAGGGACCATATTCACAGGGTAGGAGGCAGGGAAACAGGCTCCTCCAAAAGCCAGTGGCAAGGTTACTTTTGCCACATTTCTGTTTATGCAGCCCCAGCTACACCTACCTCTCCTGGCTGTCACATCCAGCCTGCATGAAATCAAAATGGTTTAATTTTCAGGTGTAACTTGCTTTAAAAGTTTTTATCTCCTGCTCTGTAAATTGAACTTTAATCACATCCAGGAGGTTACTGCAGGGTCTAGCAAGCTATAAACAGTGCAGGAGAGAATAAATTCTAAATTAAGCAGATTGTACAATAAAGTAAGGGTAAACATTAGATGACTCTTTACAGGAAGTGTTTAGGGTGTCTGTGTAAGTCACATGCAGAGAGGTGTGGCTAATACTGCATTAACAAAGTGATTTAACTCATAAATGGCAGAGAATTGAGCAGTGAGACTGCAGGGGCACGTTCTATACACCAAAACTGCTTCATTAAGCTAAAGTTGTTTTGTTACCTATAGTGTCTTTTTTAAAGAATAAATTACTTGCTAAAACAATACTATGTTATTTACCTCTTTTCCATCTGAAATAAATGTGGGCTAATTTTTTAAAAATAAAAAAAAATTCAAACATTTTAACAAATCCAAAAACTGCTAATTTATTTTATTTTAGTGGATATGATTATGAAATTATAATTATTGATGATGGAAGCCCAGATGGAACATTGGAAGTCGCTAAGCAACTGGAAAAGCTTTATGGATCTGACAAAATTGTAAGTATTTGCATTTTACTAGACCAGGGATCTGGTTTTAGCAAACTAAAATAGTGGGATAAGTTTTTCTAATTCAGCTATTTTGATGTGAAATTAAAATTTTCCCACTAAATGTTTCTTGCTGTAATCTGTAGCGATCAGTCATTTCTATTGTTTTCTTTAATTGCAGTTACTTCGACCCAGAGCAAAGAAGTTGGGTTTGGGTAAGTGTGTATTCTTAGAGCAATATCTTGCTTTATGGCCCAGAGATTCTGTCTTCTGTGCCACATGCTACTTCAAACACTGTCTCAAGGCTTCTCCCAACATCAGCAGTTTAATAATTGAACTGAGTGTTACAGTTCGTGCCGGAACTAATGTAGAGGGCCCTGGTGCAAGAATTTATTTTTTTTTGCAAATTTTTTCCCAATCCTCCCAGCGCTGCCAATAAGCAAGGGTCAGGTCGTGCTGTTAAAAGGCCACATTGCCCGACCAGGCCCCTGCTGACACATGCCCACCAGGTGGCGCTAAGTGCATGAGCCATCCGATGGGCCTTTTAGTGCGGGCCCCGGTGGTTACCCCAATGGTTATGGTAGCTAGCTGGCTCGGACTGGGAATGCAAAGCAGCCCTGGAAAGAAAATGTATACCAGCCCCATAAGTCACTTTTTTTTTTTTTTTAATTCTATATTTTATTTATAAAATAAAGTTAATTGTTACAATTTACCCCTACTTTTATTATTTTATTCTACCCTGTTGCTGTTCCACTACATCCGCTTCCTGCACATCCCAGGTGGGATTGTACCACCATAAGCATATACTACCAGAGCAAGTCAAGTTATTGCTCTGGAAATTGTAAGTAGGATACCTACCTATATTTCTATATTTTATATCACCAGGAAATATCCTGGTGGGCCAGTCCGTCCCTGGAAGCTAGTTAGCTTAGTGAATAAAATCAACCCCTGCAATTGGCTAGTTTTGGTTGTTGGCCGGGTAGGTTTCCCTACTGCAGAATGTGAAAGCCTGTTATGTGGCTCTGGATGATACATTATCAAAGGGGATTGATTGGAGTGTCAGAATTTCTGTGACATGGTGTTAGACGCTGTACTGTCTGAGCTTCTTTTAGTGTGGTGCCTTAAGTACACCTCCCATTATTTCAAATGGACAAAGAGGGACACTTAAATTTTAAGGGTGGAGGTGGGAAAGTTTTTAGAAATTTTAGGTGACCTAACTCATAATTTATAAAACTAAAATGTAATTTAGAAGAAGAACAATGTATCTTATTTCCAAACACATTTATTGCAGTTTAAATACACATTACTGGGAGTATTATTGCTGTGGAGCTCTGTTATACACTTAGACACATTACTGGGAGTATTATTACTGTGGAGCTCTGTTATACACTCAGACACATTACTGGGAGTATTATTGCTGTGGAGCTCTGTTATACACTCAGACACATTACTGGGAGTATTATTGCTGTGGAGCTCTGTTATACACTCAGACACATTACTGGGAGTATTATTGCTGTGGAGCTCTGTTATGCACTCAGACACATTACTGGGAGTATTATTGCTGTGGAGCTCTGTTATACACTCAGACACATTACTGGGAGTATTATTGTTGTGGAGCTCTGTTATACACTCAGACACATTACTGGGAGTATTATTGCTGTGGGGCTCTGTTATACACTTGGACACATCAACAATATAGATCTAGGAAAGAGGGACATTAGAAAAGAGAGGGTTTTGGACTCAAAATAGGGACTGTTCCATCTAAATATGGGCACTTGGGAGGTATGACCAGGTTATGAAAGAGAAATTTGGAACCAGAAGAGGAGACAATCTTGCAGAATTCAAAGATATGTGCAGCTTTCAATTTTATTTTATTTTTCTCAGTATATCTCTGTATCACCTACAGGGTGACTTCCCTGTAAACCGTGACAAATATGTGTTACCACAGAGTGCATTTATAGCTGTCCTGTCATATAAATGCCATATCCGCATGATGCTGATCAGTTGGAGTAACATCCACCCTCGAGGAAACCCTTTAATGTCCTAGAAGTATGTAAAGTCAATTCTGACAGTTCTACACCACTCTGTGCACCAAGCGTGGCCTGCTTTGCCATAAAACTGTTGGGCCACCTTTTCCATAAGTCTTTGCACAGTCTAGCACATTTAGGTCCATTATCTCAGGTGGCAGAAGTACGGTAATAATCATTTAATCCTATCCCTAAAAGTACTGTGATAAGGCTGTGAGTGTATTACAAAGGATGATGTCTGCTCACTGCACTGCAGAGATCTGTAGAACAACCTTGATGGATCGTTTAATTGCCAGTAATCAAGCTCCCAAGTTCGTATTTTACCTGTGCTTGCAAAAATAGATCAGAACGTGTTCCTGAAAGTGTTTTATGCTGCATTTAAAGTAGTTAATGAGCTAGCAGAGAACTGACGGTCTGTGTGCGCTGTGATGAAGGAGTTAATTTTCACGTTGGTCCGTGTCCCTCCTACAGGTACTGCATACATCCACGGAATGCAACATGCCACAGGCAACTTCATTATCATCATGGACGCTGACCTCTCCCACCACGTAAGTCATCCTGCAGATTTTGGTATAAAGGACCATCTTGTTCAATGGCTAGCTGAATTTACTTTTCTCTCTTCATTTCTAGCCCAAATTTATACCTGAATTCATCCGGTAAGTGATCTCTGCATATATAGCTCTAATATTTGTTAATAAAATGTTATTTCTTTTGGGAGGTACACTTATTAATGCCACTAAACATGGACCTGTCACTTGTGGAATTTGAAAAAAAATCACCATTCTAAATAAATGGTGTTTTTATTTTATTTTTATTTTTTTTGATTACATAATGTGAAATGAGCTTAAAGTGTTGCTGTCTCTTTAATAAAATATTTCTATAACTCAGATTTACTCCAATCACCTCTACCAGAGTGGTGGTTTTTTTTTTTTTTGGTTTTTTTTTTGGTACCCGCATTACCCAATATAATGGGCTGTGGGCTTATTATTAGGGGCAGCTGAAAGTGTTCAATTTCCTCTGGCACCAAGTACTTTCCTCCCCTGCTCGTCTATGTTGCCACCCCTGATGTCTCGGGTGCACAAATGCATGATCGGACATCTAACGTAGAAATGCCATACGCATACATATGTGCTCGACATTTTCTCCAGGAGTGCAGAAAACATGCATGTGGCATGCGTTCAGCCCTGCAGGAGTTAGTTAATTTGCATGTATGGGGAGCAGAGATCCTTCCTACTTGTGAGTGATGTGCGTAATCCAAATACACGGTGTCAAGGGAAACTGAGTGCATTCACTATATTGTTTGCAGTTATCATTCAACCTTTTTTTTTTTCTGCAGGAAACAAAACGAGGGGATCTTCGATATCGTTTCTGGTACACGATACATTGGAAATGGAGGCGTTTATGGCTGGGATTTAAAAAGAAAAGTTATAAGGTAATGCCGCCATTTCTCTAGTGTTTCTTTTGCGGCACGCACACACAGGCGCCGTTTCCTTTTACGTGGTGTGGATTTATTTATCAGTCGTACCTTTCCCTGTGCTGTATTATGGTCGATGGTTTTGTTTGCTTTGTCTCGGACCCCATCTGTCTAGCATTGGGCAGTTTACAGGAGGCCAATAGAGAAATCATAACTGCTGACATTTTAGTATGATGGATACTGAGTTTGTGCCATGTTTTTATAATATTCCTTTTTTTTGTGTTGGGCATACCTGGGTGGGACTTATTGACTTGTTTGTGTGGTATGTTGTATTTTGCTCTCATCCTGTTTAATTTGTGTTCAAACAGCCGTGGAGCCAACTTTGTTACTCAGGTTTTACTGAGACCGGGAGCCTCTGATCTAACAGGAAGTTTCAGGTACGTGATTTCATACAAATCCCACAAAACCGACACTGGTTCAATGGCTTGCCCCAATTCTCCCTCTCTTAGCTATATTTTGGTGCTTGTACCTCCCCGTGGTTTTATTTTAATCATGGTCATTGAAGCTGATTAGATCCTGGCAGCTTCAAGAGACAAACGCTTTAATTCATAATGCAAACACTTCTTAACGACACAGTATCCTGAAAATGTCTTTCCATAAACCGTTCACAACTATAAAGCGAATAGATTGTACTTTAATTAGAATAATCAAAAAGAGCTTTTTATTTATTTTTTTTAAAATTTATTTATGTATAGATCTGCAAAATAGACTGAAAAACTGATTGGCACAGGTTATAAACTGTTTTTAAAGTTCTGCATTATCTGACGATTAACTTATACATGTGCAAGTTAGTTTATGTGCCCTTATGTATTGTGATCTTGTTACAGTACAAAGGTAACAAAGTTTATTTTTACAGCACAGTGTGTTTTCTTTAGATGGTCATATTTCCTGCTCTGTAAATTGAAGTTTAATCAGACAGAAGGCTGCTGCAAGCTTTTACTGCAATAAACTAAGCATGAGAAAAGAAAATCTAAATTAAACACACTGTGCAGTACGTGAAGTTAAAAGAACTTTATTTTTATTTTTCAGGAAGTGTGCAGGGAGTCTGCCTTAGTCTGAGCCAGGAGAGGTGTTGGTCATTTTATGGGTTTAATGCACACTTTTTATAATAGGGTTAATTCTCCGCATATCCCATACGCAGGTTTTCCTAAGTCTGATTATTTTCACTCATTGCAGATTGTACAGGAAAGAAGTTCTGGAGAAGTTGGTAGAAAGATGTGTCTCGAAGGGTTATGTATTCCAGATGGAAATGATTGTCCGAGCCCGCCAGTTGAACTATACTATTGGAGAGGTGAGAACACCAAAGTTTGGGGTATGTTTATATTATTGGGTATTTCGAGGAAACTATGATTTACAGAGTCTATGTAATCTCCTGGAATGTAGCGTGGTAATTCAACTGATATATATATAATCTCCAATAGTATACTTCAGGTACCCGAAGGTCAAATATGAGTTGTGGATAACCGCTACAAGTACCCGGGGGTACCACAAACACATGGCAACCATAAGGAAGAGACAAGAAGGATAGCAACTTCCAAGTACCTCCAGAGAGACAGGCAGTTCCTGAAGTCCCAGCTCAATGGCAAGAACAAGATCCAAGTCATGAGCAAATATGCCATACCAGTCGTCAGGTACCCAGCTGGAATAATAACCTGGCCAAGAGAAGAACTGGTCACCATGGATGTCAAGACCAGGAAACTACTCAATATGAATGGAGGATTCCACCCGAAATCCAGCACCCAGAGAATGTACACCAGCCGGAAGGAAGGAGGTCGGGGCCTGGTGAGTGTCAAGGCCACAGTCCTGGATGAAACACAGAGCATCCACCAGTACATCACGAAGATGGCTCCCAAAGATGAACTGTTAAGTGAATGCCTGAGACTACGACAGATGGAGGTTCCATGGCAAGACCAACCTCTTAAATCCACGCAAACATTTTGATAAAATCTGGATGGACTGCTTGCACCATTTGTAGTGCAATGGACAGCAACGGAGCAATATGTTGTAATGTTTTGGTGGGCTAACGTGGGTATCGTGCTTGCAGTGTGTAACTTTCTACGTTTATTTACCAGTTGCACAGCGGTTAGGTTGTACTGGATTTAATGTTTGGAATCTCTGCAGATAAATTCAGAATATTACGATGTATTTGTTTAAAGTGCTGTATTTAATTCGGGTTACTGATCACCAGCTGGAGTGCTGTTAAGTATTATTTCTTGTAGTTCTTTGTTCAGTGTATTCATCTAACTTTACTTTTTCTAATTTTTACTTCTTGTTTGCCGAAGAATGTGTATCCACCATAATTTATTACTCTCAGCTTGATGAGTCCGTGTCTGCCTGCACGGATTATCTATGCAGTACCCTGGAATTTCCTGTAGGTGGCATCAGTCTAGGCATAAGTAGTTCTGGCCCGAGCCACGGCAGCCATTTTAGGCTTAGAACGACATGTGAGTGGTTTTATAGCAGCAAAGATAAGACTGACAAAGCCATCGTGTATCATAGGGCCAGATAACAACGTACTGTTTCCAGTCAACTTCCCAATAAGAGTCAAAGGGCTTCTATTATTTTTCTTATATTTATGATCATATAAACTAATCTTGTTTGGTTTTTGTTTTTAATTAAATTGGTTATAACCCATTAGCTGATTGACACATAACAAAAGGTCTATAGTGGTGTTTCTCTGTGCAGCCAGTTCGCCAATTGTCCAATTAACCTGCATTGATGGCATGACTGGAATAGAATGGGGTAATCCCCGAATTACTGGCCATTGGCACTGCATTGATACCCTTACTGGAATAGAATGGGATAATCCCCAAATTACTGCCCATTGGCACTGCATTGATGGCCTTACTGGAATAGAATGGGATAATCCCCAAATTACTGCCCATTGGCACTGCATTGATACCCTTACTGGAATAGAATGGGATAATCCCCAAATTACTGCCCATTGGCACTGCATTGATACCCTTACTGGAATAGAATGGGTCTGTAAGCCACTCGTGGTACCATGACTGCAAGCTGTAGTGTTTGTGTTCATTCCACGAGTATTTAAACCTTTCTAAAATTAAAAGTTCATTAAAATGTGTATACACATCAAACAAACTTTACTAATATACACCACTTGTACGTGGGCACCAAGTGATAAGAAGTAAACTTTAAGTGTCGCTGCAAATGAGACCGAAAACTCTCATAGGGCAACACAATAGTGGTATAGTTATGTAGAGCTTGGAATATATAATATATAGTAAGTATCACCATAGGCGTGCACAGCCTATTGTATAAGGGTGTGCACCCTAAAGCACAAACACACACTGCTGTGTGTGTGTGTGTAAGGGCGCTGTGTGTGTGTGAGGATGCTGTTAGTGTGTATGTGTGAGGGTGCTATGTATGTGTAAGGGTGTGTGTGCTGTATGTATGGGTGATTGTGTGTGTATTGTGTGGGGGCCGTTTAGTAAATATCTCCCCTCCCTTCCTACCTTATGCCTGGGAGGGGGGATCCTTTCTGCTGCTTCCATCCCTGGTGGTCCAATGGAGAGTGAACTCTAGCCTGCGGGGCTAGAGTTCACTCTCACGAGATCTGAGCATTGCCACGGCAACACTCAGAATCCCACGAGGGGAACCCAGCGGAGCTACTGGCAAGAGCTCCCCGGGTCCTCTCCTGCCTCCCTCCCTGCCTGTGGGTCGGTGGGGAGGGAGGCTGAGAGCAGAGCTGGCACTCGGATAGAGCCGGCTCTGCATGAGCCGACAGGGGGGATACTGAGATCTCCCCTGCCGTTCTCAATATACATAGGTGTGCCGCGGGGATTAGGGTGTGCCCAGGCACACCTGGCACACCCCGTGCGCAAGCCTATGAGTATCACTCACATTTACTTGAGCCTGTTGGAAATAACTAGCTCAGGTAGTACAGCCTTGGTGTGATGAGACTAACACTGGATTAGGAGGGTATCTTGATTCACAGTGGTTTTATGAAACTGATAAAAGGCAAACCCAGTTAAAAAGTTAAAATTGTACAAATAACATTGAAGTTATTTTTAAGCCTTACATTGAAGTAACTGGAATGCCACAGTCCAAAAAGAATAAGCACAATGCGTTTCAATGCTACTGTGCGTCTGCCTCAGGTGCATGGACTGTCCTGTACTGAATTCTGATCTTTTAAACCCCATATGCGCGCCAAAATCTGTTTAGCTCCGCCTCTTTAATTATGATAGTCTCTTAATACAGAGACATCCTTTTTGCGTCCTCGCAAACACCAAGATGGTGGCCGCAAAGACGCGGTGCGTCCCTTCCGGTTTTGATGGCTGCGTTCCAGCAATCATATTGACCTTCTATCACACCATGGCTATACTTCCTGAGCCAGTTCTTTCTAACAGGCTCAAGTAAATGTGAGTGTGATACCTACTATATGTTGTATTATCCTGTCACTACAGAATGTTATACTATTGTGTTGCCCAACAAGAGGACATAGTCTTAAATTAGAGGGGCAAAGGTTTAAAAATAATATCAGGAAGTATTACTTTACTGAGAGGGTAGTGGACGCATAGAATAGCCTTCCAGCTGAAGTGGTAGAGGTTAACACAGTAAAGGAGTTTAAGCATGCATGGGATAGGCATAAGGCTATCCTAACTATAAGATAGGGCCAGGGACTAATGAAAGTATTTAGAAAATTGGGCAGACTAGATGGGCCGAATGGTTCCTATCTGCCGTCACATTCTATGTTTCTATGAGCGTTTTCTGCCTCTTTCATTTGCAGCGGCCCTTGGTTTATTATGTGGACATTTTTTTTATTTTATTTTTTTTATACTTCTCATCACTTGGTGCCCACGTATAAGTGGTGTATATCGATATACAGTGTGACCGTTTAACGTGTATGCACATTTTAATGTTGATTGTATTTATTATAAGAGCGGAATTATCGTGGTTTTATTCCAGTGTTCACTAGGTGCACCTTAATTTAGCGCCAGATAATGCACACCATATGCCCTTTATTGCGGTTTCTCTTTATGTTGACTGATTTTTATTTTTTTTACGTTCTAACAGGTTCCCATCTCATTTGTGGATCGGGTCTACGGAGAGTCCAAGCTCGGAGGCAATGAAATTGTGTCTTTCTTGAAAGGCTTGCTGACATTATTTGCAACAACATGACCTGGACTCAAATGTGTGGGGTTTTTTGTTTGTTTTTTGTTATTTAAGGTTTTTTTTTGTTTTTGTTTTTTTTTCAAACTTATATTTTTAGTTTAAGGGCTATTCACTGGAATTTGACCAAATTTATCGAGTTGTATGTTTTAAATAATGCCTTTCTGAGCATTGTTTTCTATATTCCCTGTAAAGCAATTAAAACACTTTATTAACAAGAGCTCTGCTTTTTATATCACAATACAGTAAGTGCAGATTAATGAATTTTTCCGATTCCATAGGTTTCCTTGTCGTTGTGGTTTTATTTTGTATATTTCAGTGTTTACCACATGTGAGGTTTTACTCCTTTCGGTTGGTTTTGTGGCTAAATCTGTGTATAGGATGGAGGATTCGTTAACCTTGAACAAAAAAACAGATCCAAGCTCTTTGTCACATTTCTCTGTTTGTTCATTTCATTTTCACTGTAATATAATATGAAGTGGTCAGAAAACCCAAACCACATTAGAATTCCATTATCTAAATATCTACAGGTGAAAAAACTGGGTGAATTGTGAATAATAAAATGTGCATTGACGAAAAAATTGTGAGCAAGGATTATTGTAGAGGGGGCAGAGGTTTTTATAGAGAGGGGGGGGGGACTGGGCAGGGGTTTTTGTAGACGAAGTGGGGTGGGGGGTTTGTAGAAGGTTTTTTTTTTATTTATTATTATTGCCTACTACTGTTGTAGTAAGCAATAAAAAAGAGAAATTAGAATACATTTAAAAAAATACTAGGTGTTTTTTTTGTTGTTGTTGTTTTTTTACATTTCAATTGGGGGAGGGAAGTGTCAAAAGCTCTAGGTATGCCCCTGAGCCCATTACATTCTGTGCTCCTCCTGCACAGCTTCCTCACTGCCCGACAATGAGCTGTCCGCCGGTATATGACGTCAGAGCAAGTGCGGGAGGCTGGGCAGACCTCTTTAGTATTAAATGTGTGTGCATGTGATTTTTTTTTTGTGTATGTTTTGTTAGTGATTGGCTGTGTGTGAGGGGGGGGAGGGAGGGAGCAGAGATCTGTGGACATGTCTGTGATTGTGTGTATAAGTTTGTGATTATGTGTGTGTGGATCTGTGATTTTTTTTTTTTGTGTGTATCTATGTGATTGTGTGTGGGTGTGTGTGTGTGGGGGGGGAGAGGGTCTGTGATTGTTGGTGTATGTGATTGTGTGTGTGTGTACATTTGTGATTGTGCGTATAGGTCTGTGATTGTATGTGTGTGTCAGTGATTATGTGTGTATAGATCTGTGATTGTGTATCTGTGATTATGTGTGCATACATATACACATGTGTTTAGTAGATAGCTCCCTAATTTAATATTATTAAATATGCCAATCCCACACAAGGATAACAAATAAGGGAGTTATCTAGTAAACAACCGAAATATAAAAATTAAGAAAAGGACTTTTAAAGATATATTACTTATATACATTATCTATATTATAGATTTGATGTGTGGACCAAGACAATTCCTCTGCGCTCAATGTGGCCCAGGGAAGTCAAAGGTTGGACCCATGCTTTACAGGAAGTGTGTAGTGAGGCTGTGTAAGTCACATGCAGGGAGGTGTGTCTAGGGCTTTATAAACAATGTGCTTGCTCTACACCCCAAATCTGCAACTTTATGCAAAGTTATTTTGGTGACTTTAGTGTCCCTTTTAAGGACAAAATAGCTGAACTGTCAGCTGTGCTTTTAGTTTCACTGCTCTGGCCTTAAAGGAACACTATAGTCACCTAAATTACTTTAGCTAAATAAAGCAGTTTTAGTGTATAGATCATTCCCCTGCAATTTCACTGTCATTTATGAATTAAATCACTTTGTTTCTGTTTATGCAGCCCTAGCCACACCTTCCCTGGCTATGATTGACAGAGCCTGCATGAAAAAAAAAAACTGGTTTCACTTTCAAACAGATGTAATTTACCTTAAATAATTGTATCTCAATCTCTAAATTGAACTTTAATCACAGGAGGCTCTTGCAGGGTCTAGCAAGCTATTAACATAGCAGGGGATAAGAAAAATCTTAATTAAACAGAACTTGCAATAAAGAAAGCCTAAATAGGGCTTTCTTTACAGGAAGTGTTTATGGAAGGCTGTGCAAGTCACATGCAGGGAGGTGTGACTAGGGTTCATAAACAAGGGATTTAACTCCTAAATGGCAGAGGATTGAGCAGTGAGGCTGCAGGGGTATGTTCTATACACCAAAACTGCTTCATTAAGCTAAAGTTGTTCAGGTGACTATAGTGTCCCTTTAAATTTGAAATTCACTTTGAATTCTCACATTACTAAAAAACCCTGAAAGTATTTCTTGTGGAAATTTCTTATACACAGGAAGGCTAGTTAGGTGGGTAGAAAGTTATTAAAAACAAGTTTCCATTTAGAAAATGGAAAATTCAGGGCTTATCCAATTTTTGAAGTCTTTCTAGGCCAAAGATTGATATATGTTATTTAACAATGTTATGAATGGGGGAAAAAATTGTTCCATCATTTTTGAAGGAAGTTCCCAAAACCACTGGTCACTCCCCTCCCAAAAGGTTCTTAAAGGTAACGCACTCAAATTGTTTATTTTCAGTAAGTGTAATTTAAGAGATATTTGGTTTAAATGTTGGCATCTACTCATTTTATTTGCTGTGTGCACCGGGCAAGGAATGAAGAAATGAGCTCAGTGACACTTGGGCCAAATCCTGCATCCTTAACGCCAACTAATCCATTTTCCTCCAGCATCCAAAAAGTCTTCCATCAAAGGACAAGAACAAAATAATGAAACGTTTTGCAGGGCTCAGGTACCGCAGCCATTCACTGGATAATTCAGAATCTACTCCATTTATTTATTAAAAGTATTGTTTAACTACTAAAAAAAAAAAAAAAACATTTTAACTAATGCTTAATGTAAAATGTATCTGCGTAAATATAGGCAATTTTATTATTACAAGGAGGTAAAAAGCGCCAACATATTGTGTACTGTTGTACAATTGGGTAAAAAATAAAATTCCAAGCAGTACAATTTACACAGACCAATACCAGAGTTAAAGGGGCCTGCCCGTCAGTGGAGATCTAGCCATAGAAGCTCTGTTATACAAAGTCCTTAGTTAGCCCGTGAGCTCACAATCTAAAGGTTATACTAATGGCGATTTGAGACAAGAGGTACCAAGGGGAGTTTGGAAGTGATGGCCAGAAAAACAAAATTAAAGGAATGTTGCATCTATGGCTATAAAATAATGAGAGTGATGGGGTAAGTACCTGTAGGAGCATGTTCCAGGAGGAACAAAGGATGGAGAAACGTTTTGTATACAGTTAAAAAAATTACCAACCAAATCTGTCACCCCAAACATTAATAACTATATTACATGGAATATTGGAGGAATACACTCAGTGGAAATATCCCTATTATAAAAACCCGATACTTTTAATCATGTCAATTATTCACTCAGTTGTAATCGTTATATAACATTTAATTCTTACCCTTTACATATATGCTTTTAAACGAAACCATAAGTCTATTAAATGGCCTATCTTAGTAAATATTTGATTATGTGAGTGGGGGGGACAGCTCGCACATAGTGGAAGTTGAGACATGAGGACAAAGTTTAAGCAGTCTCGAATCTCTGGTAGTGTACAATCTTTACAGAATACCTTACCACACCCACCTGTACTTTCCCCTGGTTTCCAGACTTTAATTATCCATGAAACCCCCATATTTAATCATATCTAGTGACAGAGTAACTCGTCCCCCAACATAATCTCCTGCTTCACTTTCATTCTCACTGCTTGCTTCTCTTAGACATCCTCTAGAGATGGAGCAGATATGTTTAGATTGCAAGCTCACATACTATCTAGCCAAGGCCTTGATTTAATATTGTTGCATAAGCTTTCCAAATTGATTTAATATTTTTGGATAAACATTTCAAATATTTTTTCCCAGCATCTTAAAATATCAAAACATATACCCTATTAAAAAATATATATATAAATTAAATCTAAATGTTACAAAACAAATGTCATACTATTAACTCATTCTAAAAGTTTATCCAAAAATGTTAAATAATTTGGAACACGTATCTGACCATATTAAATTCGAGTCCTAAGTACATTGTATGAAAGAGATTCAGGGGCCCAATTTCGGCTCACGAGCACGGCGCCCTTACCTCTTGTATTGTACGTTGTACTTTCTCTTACAGCTTGAAAAGGTTGCTCTGTTGGTAGGTTTTTGTGATATTTTTTGGGGGCAGAGGATAGCTTTTAGTATTTATAAAGAGATTTTATACTTTTATATTCACATTTTATTCTTGTACAATTTTCTCACGTGTGCATGTTCTAACATGTTAGGATTTATATGCTTAAACACTTTAATAAAAAAATAAAAAATACATTTTAATCTTAGCCCCCTGTTTTCCGTAGTAACTCTACGTTAATGAGCAACCCTTTTTTTATTGCATTAAAACATTTTTTAAATCATCCTTAAGTTTATAGCGCCAAGACAGATATATCACTGCAGCCCAGCCCTCCCTTGCTTAAAGGGACAATACAGTCACCCAGACCACTTCCCCTCATTGCAGTTATTTAACCCAGATTATTGAAATGGGCTGGGTGCAGTGTCCCTGTCCCCTTAGTCCTGCAATGTGAAATGTTGTTTTAGAGAAACTGCGCTAATTACCCTGCAGGACTTAGACTTCCTCCTCTATCAGACAGCCACTAGAAGCACTTCATGGATTCTAGCGGACTTTCCAATGGGGAGAGCCTACTGCGCTCGCGGTGCTCGACACAAATGCTCATTAGGTCCCCCAGTTGGGTGACAGGGGAGGAGGCGGAGCTCCGACCATCGGGGGAGTAAATTAAAAAAATTTTTTAACCCTTTATCTGCTACAGGGAGGGTCGTGAGGGAGGTTGGGAGCCAGAGGGCACTATAGTGTTAGTAATACAGATTTATTTTTCTAACACTATAGAATCCCTTTAAATCATCAAGACGAATGACTTTTTTTAAATAAAATGTTTCTCCCAGTGAAGCACTGGAGGCATACTGTGCAGGCACAGCTCCCAGAAGCATTACATCCTAGGCCAATGGGAGAGAAGCATTATATGAATAGCCGGTTTACAGACAGTATCAGAATCATTTACTTGTTGACGCAGGACATCAAATACGTTCAATGACTGGATGTGTTTCAGTCCAAAGGCCCAGAGTGACCGTCTCTCTAGCAGCCCCTGGATGTGCAGGGATTGCAAAATGTAAACAGAGCTTTTTCTCAGAAATGGCACAACGTTTGGCACAGAGTCAATGCCCTAAAATCACTACAAAAGAACAGCTTTTGTAACCAAAAATAAACTTTATCTACGACACTTCTATATAGCGCCCTGTGTCTGAATCTGTCTTATTTATTTAATTTCCTGAGTGCTCTAGTTCTTTATAAAATACATAAGGAGATGTTAGGACAACTTTATCTTGTAGCAGTCAAAGCTGGATAATTGTCAGAGCTAAAAGGGACACTCCGGGACCATAACAACTTAATCGAAATACATGTACCTGTTTCAAAGCATGTATTTATGAATGAAGATTC